GATTGATTATAATAGTCATAAAGTAATACATTGTACTTGTAAGTTAATTACAATACTTCTAGTAAGATAATATGCAATTATATATATTAATATTGATAACAATCACTCTGTCAGACTTATAAAATAATTTGGTTTTACTTTTAAACAATATATCGAAGTGATTACATAATCGAGTACCGAAGATCGAGCGCATATAATGACGCACTTGCTCTCGTCACTCCTTTTCCTCCTACCTCCACCATCTCCCCAACCCTCTTCCCCCAACGCTATGTCGTCGCTCTTGTTCTCTCTAGCCCAGTCCTCTGCCTACAAGCATCCTCCAGCAGGCACACTGCCTGCAATCACCTAGACAATAAACATCACTGTATTCGTCTCTCTAATCTGCCACTACAATGCCCGTGCTGAGCCTCAGATCCTGTGACGACACGACTGAGCTGGCTACACCGTCCTTCATCGTAAAGCGTAAGCAGCCAGTCCACTTCATAATAACTCGCACAATGGTTACTCACCCCTCTCCTCCCAACTTTTTGTCTCTCTTCCATCCCTCCCGCTCCTCGCTCCTTGCTCCGCCGCTTGCGTTGCCTCTCCTTCGTTGTCCTCCTCTGTTTACGCTCGCCTTCCTTTTTCATTCGCATTCGCGCATCCGCATTGTTGACCAATGCTGAACGACTTCTTCAATGTTTCCATACATTCGCATACTTCCCGCTCTGTAGTGCAAGCAACAGTCGACAAGCGCGCGCTCGCGACAATACCAACGTACGACCACTCCTATGGTACGACCCTCTCTTCGACGCTGTACGCACTCTCCTTCCCCACCCATTCCATGCTTAACATCACTCTCGCAGGTCCACCCCACGTGCATTTACATTCCTTAGTGCAGCGGACAACACCATATCGAACAGAAGCAGTGGACCGCCACTTACCCCTCCTGAGCAGAGTCCGTCAATACATTCCACTTTGCCTTCTCTGTTCGAGCCGGTACGTCCCAGAGATCAATCCACAATAATGACTCAGTTCACTGCTCCTCCAATTGCACGTCACAGTCAGAATATGTAGCATACGCATACTGATACGGCTTTGTCTGCAGCCTGAATCAACTCATTCAACGCTCCGGATCTCAACCTGCATGCATCACTCACACTCGCTGCACGCCGTCGCAGTACGTCCACCTTTTCTCTCCTATTGATACTTACTAACTACTCTAAACCTGTCTAACAGGTGCAGCCTCAACCTCCACAACCCGCTCGACCTCAACCCCCACACACACACACAATTTGACTCACAGGTCCCGAGCGACAACCAAACGTGGTGACGAGGACTACATCAAACGGCCCAAGGATGCGTTCATCCTTTTCCGACACGAATTCTGCTCACGAAAGAACAAGGCAGAGGCTGCTAGTGGTGCAGGGGTTAGGACTGTAGAAATAATGTTTTGTATTAAATAATTAAATATAATTATATTTTATAAATTATTTGATAAAAAATTGTATCCAAAGCAAAAGGAAGCGATTCAAACGCTTGTAATGACTAATAAGCATTATAAGCAGATATTATACTTTCTCAAATAAATAAGTATGTCTTAGTCTTGTAGTCTTAGAAAGTGTTATAATCACTTTTATAACTTGACAATTTATAAAATTATAATGGAAATTGCCAAGTTATTCTTACTTACTTATCTAACATTGTACTGTCATTACTTAACCCCCCAGGAAGATTATAAGTAATTGGACAAATTTTATAAAATATAAAAAATATACAAGATTACAAGCAAGTATAATACTTAAGACTTTTTTGTGATGGAGTACTTTAGTAGGTGCTCACTGATAGGTGCCATCGGCTGCTCCTTCGGCCATGTTTTCCGTCTGCTGACGCACGTTGCGGAGCACTTGTGCAACCTCCTTGTCTTGAGTACGACGCTCTTTGTCCTGAGTACGACGCTCTTTCGTCTTGCACGCGCCGTTGCTCAAGTATGTCTACGAGAGCTTCTTCGAGTTGCTGTGCCATGGGACAAGTAAGAGGCAGGAAGGAATGACGGATATCTGAATACGAACGCTTAAATAGCAGTGCCCTTTAGTGGCTGGCATGGGCTGGAACGTCATTGCGTGTCAGGCTGGATCGGATGTGGCGGGCAGAAAACGTACAGTTCAGAATACGATAACTCAGTTTCTGAGACATTGTCTGTGTCAGCATCAATCAGGCACTTCGCACTTTCCTCAATGAGTAAAAGCAGATAAACGGTGTTAACCGTGCATTTGTGAAGCGATTGAGATGGAACACAGTAAATACAACTTCCCAACGTCTTCAAAAATCTGAAAGCAGTGCAAAGGTGAGTAAACAGCCAGAGTACCCTTAATGTATATAGCTCATACTCACAGTCTATATGAATGTATTATACCGGTCTTCTCAGCTTCAATAACAATAACTAATACCATGGGGATGATTAAACGAGCGTTAAGACACAGTTATGCATGTATTCGAATCTTCTCAGGCTCTCCTAGTGCTTCATTCTTATCGTCAATTGCATTGGGTTCGGATTCTTGAGAATTTGATGAGACAAGAATATCTGCTGTCGTTGTATCGAGTTGTGCGGCCATCAAGGCGGGGAAACGTGAGTTGTACGTAGGTTTATTGTGTCAGATATATACATATAGCGCAAAACCACACATATCGGCATTAATGTCGATGTATTTACTAATTGACGGTATGTTCCGGACTCAGTAATCTTCCCACCTAGTATGTTATTTAGTAGTGGCACATAATGGTCAAGTTCGATTACAGTTCGCAAGAGGAAAGGCAGGACGCACCTTCAAGTACGACGATCCTCTCTGCACGCGCAATGCTTGATATCCGAAGTGCAACAATCATACATGTCGTTTGTTTCGAGCTTAGGATCTTGTCAATCGCGTCGTTGACCTACGGCAATATTACCAATCGGTATACAAGTAATTTGAGTAAGTAAACAGTGTAGTTTGAAGAAGGCAAATAATGGATAGTATGATGATTGACGCACCCGATATTCAGACGTCGCGTGAAACGAGCTCATCGCCTCGTCCATAGCCAGTATCGCCGGCCTCTTCAAAAGTGCGCGCGCAATCGCAAGGCGTTAACGTTGTCCACCGCTCAGCCTAGTCTCCCAACTTCCAATCCATTCCACCATCAGTACCATTTGTCTCTTCCAAACAGAGACACTCACTTTCACTATCAAATCCTTTCGGCATTCCCCAATTCGCTTGCCGAGCAGCTACCTCGTTGGATGCGATCGGCCCTGTGAAGAGGGCGAGGTTTTGAGGAACGGTACCAATCAGATTAAACCAAGGATACGGGTTGAATTCATGAATGTCTATACGGTCGAAGTTTATTGCGGTTATACGAGACGGCCGGTTATTGAAGAATATGGGATATGAGAATTGCCGTACCTGGCCGTCATAAGTGATACGCCCGCTTACGGGGTCGTAATACCGTAAAAGAAGACACTGGACACTTGATTTGCCACTTCCACTCTGTCCGCTATCGATTCCATCAGCCGTTATACAGAGGAAGAAAAAAAACGGATCCAAAGACGTACACGATTGCAACATCCTCCCCGACGTCGAGTTTCAAATTAAAATCCTTCAAAACTCGAACTCCTGGTCGACTCGGATACTCAAACGAAACACTCTCAAACGATACTGTTCCCCTCCTAGTCAGAGCAACAGGTTCTCCTGATAAAGGGATAGGTGGTGCCCTTTCGAGGAGCTCGAAGATACGTATCCCAGCACCGACCGCTGGCATGATAGACGCCAAAAAGACCTATATCAGCAATGCATTAATCTACCCGAAATTAAAAGTCGAGGGACAACACGTAGATCAACATTGACAGCCCATTAACAACATACACCGTAAACGACAGCATACTCGTCAAGTCTCCCACCGAAAAGGCTCCGTTACTCACTGAACTCCTTTCTATACCCCAAGAGACAAAGCAGCGTAGCATTCCCACTCTATCTCGTTGCCCCATAAAATGCTCCACTTGCGAGTGCTCCCTTGCAAATGAGTCTAAGGACAAGGTTGACCTACTATGAAAATTTGGCCTCTGCTTGTTGTTGCGCGTTGAGTGCATGGACAGTACAAAAGGCACAGTGTGATTCCAAGGCGACTTTAGTCATGTCTCCAACTGCTTCTTGGGTGCGGTTTGAGAGGCTTTTGAGGCAGTGATCGTAGAATATCCGAGTACGATATAACATTAGAATTAATTGGCATTCAGGAATTCCATTTTGATACAGCACCCAGTGAGATGGCGGATAATGGTATTCTTACATAATCAGCCATACGTTGTTTGTCTCTCTCCCAGACTCCCGTTAAGTCGCACGCCGCATTTCTACTAAACAAGTGCCCTAATCAACCAAGTGGACAGCTCCAGAACCCTTAGCCCTCTTGTGATCACTTTGCAAAGCATACGAAGAAATCTGGTATATAAGCATTTGGTATGACTCTGTCGGTTGGTATTGTAGTTTTTATAACTTTCGATGGCTCTGACAACGTTCATACTTGATGATCCTTAGGAATTATTGACGAAGTGTATGCAGTACCACAAGCTTAAGACCAGTCCTCAAGTGGTTTCAGAAATTGTGAAAGGCCAGCTTTCAGATGAACCGGAGGACTCAGTCTGGCGTTGGAATTATCGACGAGCCTTGGATTTATGTGGGACTCTCTGGTCAATGGATCCCATCTTTCAGCCATCCTTGCATACGATTGTTTCACTTTTAAACAATTTTCATACGACCAAAGGCAATCATCTCCAGTGCTCTATCTGTGCTGCTGGAAAATTGGGGACCTGTGCCAGTGTCCAGGACTGTGCAAAGAAGCGATGTTCACGCACAATCTACAAACAGTTCAAGAAACTCTCAGATGCAATCAACTGGTGGTCTGAGGTTCGTTCGGACGTGATCAACAGGCAGCGGATGAAGGTTCGCTCAGATGAGATCGACAGGCAGATTGAGGAAGACTCGCAGAAGTTCAGAAAGGAATGTAAGATCCTCTTACTAGGTCCGTCCCTTCGTCCCTCCTTCCCTCCTGCCCCTTTCTCTTTCTGCAGTCATGTTTGTCCATGTTCACTTGATACCACCCACCAGGGAGCAGAGAATCGGGCGGGTCGACAATTGTGAAGCAGATGAAGATCATGCATCAGAATGGATACACCCGCGAGGAGTTATCGGCATATCGACTCACCGTTTACCGGAATCTTCTTGAGAGTGCTCAAGCGATTGTACTGGCTATGCGTGAGCTTGCGATTGACCCCGTCTTACCCGCGAACCGCGCCTACATTGACACGATCCTGGTATACAAGGTCGACCCGCCCTCATCAATAACAGCCGCATCATCCTCCGTTGCTGGTGCCAACACCGCAACTGCGACGGGTGAATTCAGCGAAGAGGTGGCGGCTGCAATCGACGCTCTCTGGAGTGATCCCATAATCCCTAAGATCATGGATCACAGTAGTGAATTCTACTCGATGAACTCTGCAAGCTACTTCTTGAGCGAGGTGCGACGAATAGGCAAACCGGGTTATGTGCCAACGGAGACGGATGTTCTACATGCGCGACAGAAATTGACGGGGATTGTAGAAACGAGATTCAATATGGGTCAACTAAGTATACGCATCGTCGACGTCTGCGGACAACGAGGTGAACGAAGGAAGTGGATACATTGCTTTGAGCACGTAACGTCGATCATTTTTTGCCCAGCGCTTTCGGAATACGACCAGGTGTTGTTGGAGGAGTCATGCCGGACTCGGATGGTGGACAGCTTAGTGCTATTTGAGTCGGTCATCAACTCGCGATGGTTCTTACGGACGAGTATCATGCTGTTCCTGACCGAGATTGACGTGTTCAAGAGTAAACTACTGAAGGTGCCGTTAGAGAGGTATTTCCCAGAATATACAGGTGGGGCGGATATCGACAAAGCGGTGAAGTACATCTTATGGAGGTTCATGCAGGCGAACAGGGCACGGTTATGTATATACCCTCAGTGAGTGTGACCTGGCCATTTGGATCACTCCCACTTGCTGATATTTCCTGCAACTACCACCACCGTCAGTCTGATACAAGGGACTGATATGGGGAACATACGACTGGTGTTTGCGGTTGTGAAAGAAACGATATTACATAATGCGTTGAAAGATGCGGGAATACTATAATATCGTTTCGTCCACGACTTTTTTTGCCTTTCTCTGTTCGTTTCTTTCTTCATTGCCTTCACGAGTCACATAGCATTATCCTTTCTCCTCCACCTCGTGCTTTGTCCCGCCTCTCGCTTGCGTCTATATGTCGATCGCTTCACCTGCCCTTATGTTGTTACTCATTGCCCATCTATAGAACCTCGTCCATTACTACCATCACTTCTCGCATTACTATCGCATTACTCCCCTGGGTCGCCATACTGTTTACACATTGGCTTAGCCTTCTCCCTCATCCCTTGTTCAACTTTCTCGATCTAGTCCTCTTTATCCATGTCTCTGTCATAGTATTGTATCTGCCATTCACAAGTATACTGTTTCTTTGTCTTCACTTCACATCACAGGAGGCATATTTGCATTCTGTAACACTGGGAATTTATTACAAAATCCAAAAGCTCTCACCTGATTGACTGAAAATACATTCTGAAACAGATTTTCCAGACCTCAGAATTGGTTTTTGCCTCTGGTGTTATGATCCGACGCTTTGCGTCCTCGGAACTCGAGGCCTCCACCCCTCGGGTGCACTGTATACTGACTATATGCAGGTTGACTTATGTGATTGCTCCTATTCCTATTCCACTTGACCCTCTCCATTATTCTTTTGTTCACCCTGAGTCCTACCCTTTATTCCCTAGCCCTTCATTCTTTGTCTGCATACCTTTGACTCTTCCTTCTTTATCTCTCATAACTTATTATTCTCTGAGTGCCTGTGTAGTTTAGTATATATACATATGTAAGATCAGACTGGTCCTGTAGTCTTGATCTTGTCTACTCCAGGTAGTCCTGTACTCTTAGGCTCATTCTATATACTCTACTCTTGTCTCACTCTACTTACTTGCCTGACTCACAGGTTCTGTGTGTTCCAATACTTATGTTCTAGTGCTTGTATCCTAGTATTTCTGTTGTGTAGGATAGTTGTAGCCTGGGTCCCCTTACTAAGCCTTTGGGTCCCCTCTACACTGTTGCTGACATCTGGTGCATCTTATCTGTCATAGGACTGTTAATTTGAACATTAGTTTTGCTTACTTCATGTCTTACTTTTTCCTTTTGCCCTTCTGAATAGAGTTGCTCAGTAACAAATACTCTATTAAGATACTCATTATACTTTATCTTTCAACTACAATTTTCTTTTCTTTACTATAAAATTATAGACAGGTGAGTTAAGAATAGTGAAGGATTGAATAACAAAAGTAAGTACTAACACACATTCCTGATAAATAAGCATTTACTCAATTTAATGAGTCAAATTCATTGCAATATCAGGACAGGAGACAACATACATACTAGTCAGAGAATTTCCTCCTACTGTATCATTTTCTACATTATCAAGGTGGACTTGCTTAATGACATTCCTGTTGTTAAGTTCTAATTCCAT